CGTTCAGGGACCTTCAGTGTTGTTGATTACTCCACCGTTTCTTCATAACGTTTATCACAAATGTATATATAATATATAATAGATATATTTAATTATTTATGCTTCCACTTGTGTTATGCTGCGTATGGGATGTTCTCCGTACATGTTCCAGAGTACAAACATTAAAGAACCACTAAACTTTGTTTTTTGTTACTCTTTTAACCATTACATATGACAGATGTGTGGTTAGTCTTATGCGGAACACCAAATTTATTCTTTAAAAACTTGTGGTTAATTAATACCGAGCGATTAAAAGTGGCCAAAAAGTCGACTGCTTCCCTCTCGCCCGCCAACGAAACCACAGACAGGTTACGTAACTTTGTCGCCAGAGCACTGCAGTGACGTCATATGAGGAACGATTTTCAGTTAGTTGTATAGAAAGTGTGTAGCACGCTCATCATTTTGATGATTTCTCGACATCAACGACGACATGCCGAATCGTTGCTTTGTCGTCAATTGCTCCTAGGGGTCGGGCGATGGTGTCACCGTGCACAGATTTCCACAGGACCCCGCAGTTCGGGCTAAATGGGTTATGTTTGTGAGTGCGAAGCGAGCGTTGTGGAAGCCTGAAACCATATCTAACTTGTGTTCAGATCGCTTCACGGAAGTTAAAGAATCAAAACTACTTACTAGTTGTAGTAAAATATGTATATGATTGATGACCATAAAGATTTTCCATGACACAACTTGTGACATAACGATTTCTTCCTCGGAAGTGAGGTTGTGGTCGAAGTAACAATAATATTATAAGTAGTATTATATTGACACCCACCTCGTTGCCAGGAGAGAAATTGTTATGTTATACGCTATGTCATGCAAAATCCTATTGGCCATCAATAAACTACATATTTTACTACCAGTAGAAAGTAGTTTTGATTTTGTAACTCGGTGAAAACAAACCTAAATAGCATTTATCCTCAGACTGGCGGATGTTCGCGACAGGGCGCCGCCATTTTTGAAAATCGTAAAGTCTGTTAGAATTAATGAGATTATAGTTTGTTTTCATCAAGTTAGAAAATCAAAACTACTTTCTACTCGTAGTTAAATATGTATTGGAATCATAACCAAACGGATTTTGCATGACACAACTTATAACATAACGATTTCTTCCACGGAAGCGAGACGGGGGTCGAAGTCACAATACTGCGCGATAAATGTCTTGCTACATTCCCATGGTTAATGTCCACTCACCAGTATGTAGATACTAGTCAATGTGCGTCTTTATATTTGGTCTTATAATCCTAATTAGTTTATTATCATACTTGTATGCATTTTGAAACTAAATAAAAAGCAGACGATCTACTGATACTTATAGTGAATTATCTAGACATTTTATAGTTTTCCAATGTGAATCATAATTCGCACACACACCCTAGTGTATGTTGTCTGTCTCATTACACTTCACGGCGAAAACAATGATTCTGTTGAATGCTACGACAAATGAACAAAAACAACATGCAAACATTAAAATTAAAACAGATTCAAGTTATAAGAACAATATCAGGCCATTACCTTGTTCGAGGAATGTATCCATCAATATCCACAAAACTGTTCCAAATGATGTGTCTTTTAACAGTTTGATATACGAAAAAGTGATAAATCTTTTCAGGTATTGGTGTATAGTCTCATTGGTCATCCAAGATAGCACACCTGGCAACTAATTGCATAATGTCCGCCTTTCTTTAAAAACAGTAAATTAGTTAACCTATAATGGGCAATCAATCAATGTATTGCCGGTTAATCCTTTGAAAGAAGGACGTTGTTTTTACGCAGACACCGACACGACCGAGTGTATTCAGTATAGATTAGTAAATCTACATATATAAACACTACCTTTTGACAATTCCGCTGTATAAGATAAAAGTAATTAATCAATCAGCGTGTTATCGGTTAATCCTTTGATCGATGTTTATAATGTTGAATATTTACTCCAGACACAAGAAATGCCAAATGGGGACCTTTGTCGGGTAATCTAAGTGTGTTACCACTAATTATACCTGTTATAAATTCATTAACTGACCATCAAGTGAATGATGACAAATAACATGTGTAGGTTTATACCACCTAACACGGGTTACAACAAGGGAGTATTAATTGCTGTATTGCATGTGAAAACTTATGGGCCGACACTGTTTTGAGAATACAAACAGGTTTTTACATGACATGATTAAATATCGAGGTAAAAAAAAACAGAAATGGGATCAATTTGGATCAGTCATTATACAAATAGGGCCTAACGACACCAATCGATTTTGACAGAATCGTCTATGAAAACAAGTTGTAACTCGGAAACTAGGCAAAGCCGGAGACAAAATTAAATGCCAGTAGATTGTGAGAACATATAGCTTTCATTTTCCACAACAATTGTCACGATTTCAGGTTTATACCAGCCTGTAAACAAGATAATTTACCCCCTAAAATGTAGATGAATTCTGCATCGGCCCTCAAAGCTATTCCTCATATGACGTCACAGAGACGCGCCGCTCTGATTGGTTGAAATTTCGTTCGCGGGTGAGAATTGTGCACTGTTGTCAAAAAGGTCGATTTAAGTCAATTAAAGGTCGAAATGAGTAGTTTTAATGACGGGGTTTCATTTATAACGATGCCAGTTAGTGATTTATGTATTTGTACCCCCTAGGGTTTATGTGACCTTTAATGAATACTAGTACCGATACAGATGGCAGGCTGAAGCTATTCGTGATATGATTTACACATATAATTAACTTAATAAATATCAGAAGATATTACACCCAATTATATGACATGAAATGCTTGAAAGGGGTGGGGTTTTCTTTAGTGGTTTAGAATACAGCATGTTCTCCGTACAGTTTCCACAGTTTAAACATCAATTCATACTAGTACAGATATAGATAGCCGGCTGAAGCTATTCCTGACATGATTTGAACATATCAGTAATTTCATAAATATCAGAAGGTATCAGCTAAAATGACTTGCCGTATGAGATGTTATGGTTATATAATTTGAACATACGAAAGTATGAAAACACATCCACGGCAATGACACTGTGTTGCCCAGCTCAGGCTCGGGAGAACATTGTTTTCACTGTGAGAGTTTTGCCAAAGGTTACTCGGAGATGCCGTTTCCGGATGTTGTAAACTTCCTTTTCCTGAACACGCATACAGACAATAGAAGAATTAGACAGACAGACAGACAGATATTTTATTTCAGTCTCACCTCACATAAAATACATATAAAAATATATTTGTAAAATATAGCATATAAGTGAGCCACCCTTAAAGGGTTATGAGAGACTAATGTATTAATACATTATAAATACTAAATACTAAATAATTATATAGGTACATACAGTATATAATCTATCCGTATAAAATATGTTTTCTTCTTTGCAAGATATAAAAGCAGGTTTTGGCACTGAAATATACATGGTGTTTAAAAAGTAAAACTAATTTATCATCATCACAAAGATCTAAGAAGTTGGGATAGCCAAAACAGACATTTTCATATAAACTTTCACGCAAATCATCATACATAGGGCAATACAACAGAACGTGTCTTTCATCCTCAACACTCTCACTGCACTGAAAACTTACCCCGTCATTCACATTCACATTTGTGTATCTGCCGGTTTCCAAATGCAGAGGAGCAGTACCTGATCTGAATTTGGAGAAGGCAGAGCGGTAAGAACGGGGCATACTCATACTCACATAACTTTCACAGCCATACACATATTAGAGAGAGAAGTGGGAGAAGTATGTTTTCATTAAATCCACAGTGTCTCGCCTTACTGGCCGAGCTGGGCATTAGCAGCCCATTTTCAAATCATCTGATCTTTACATGTTGCATTTTATAACATTACAAGGTGATATTTAGGTAGATATAATACCAATCTATGGAATTAAACACATTTCAAGATACATCTATGACGTATAAGGTGCGTTTGAGCGCCCGGGCCTAGCCGGACCGAACGCTTGTGATACAGTAGTATGGTGACCGCACATTTCCGAGGTGACGTAACGTGACGCAACCTCGAAAATATACGGCCACACTGACGTCATACACGTATGACGTCACGACGATTGGTCTCATGACGTCACGATCTACAAACGAAGGTAGTGACGTCACTTGATGGTGACGCAACCTCAAAAATATACTACCACACTGACGTCACGCCCTACAACGACGGTATTGACGTCACGTGGTCATTGAACCGTCACAAATAAGGGTAATGGTCGTCTAGTACGTGTTCGTGCATGTACGTGCGTGTGTGTGTGTGTGTGTGTGTGTGTGTGTGTGTGTGTGTGTGTGTGTGCGCGCGCGCACGTGTGACATAATGCTCTCTTCTACCTTTCCACACTCCCACAATTCGCGAATCAGCACCAACTAAATGTGTACGATATCAAAAAAAAATTTAATACAGGTATATACAACATATAACACAATATAATACAATATATACATACAATTTCATACATTTCACAAAATGAGGCGACCTCTCCGGTTGCGCACACGGATACGGCGAGTAGGTGTCTCGCCGTTCCTGTGCACGTCTGCAACCACTGTCACCGTATTTTCTGAGGGGTGGTGACGGTTATGAGAGGCCTCCTCAAAATTAGTGAAAGCTCCTCCATCGCCGTCGTCGTCGTCGTCCCACGACAGCTGCTGGGCGTGTTCCCCTTCCTCTTCATCGTCGTCGTCGATGAAGAGGGGGGAGTGTACCGATGTCGGGTGGGAGGGGTAAGGGGAGGTGTTGTCATCATATACAAGAGGTCCCTGAGGGCTGAGGGCTCCATCTTCATCATCTTCTTCCACCTTCTCTGTTGGTATGCTCCTCACAATAGGGTAGCCACCCCCAAGGTCCCTCCCCCTTTCACCCCCATCCACACTACGAGCAATGTTTCTATATTGTATGCTAGACATCACTATCCCCGTAGTCTGTGTGCCAACATCAGATGTCTTCACGACACACTTAGCACACCTCTCTACGGGATCACCAGGGCATCTTCGGTGGTCCAGTCATCTGTAGTAGGTTGTTCCCTTTTGACCTTCTTAGCGGCGGGGGTGACATCTACCGCACATGACCGGGCGTAGTGGCCACTCCCTCCACACTTGTAACATGTGGCCGTCGGACATTGGGGAGCCCAGTGACCAGAGTCCCCACACCTATAGCAATGACCATAAGAAGGAGTAGTCGTGGCAGTCGGTGTAGGAGTCGTGGCAGTCGTGGACGGCGTGGAAGGTGGGGTGGTGATCACGGAGGAAGAGGAGGCCATGTTGAAGGACGGGCAGGTCCTCCTGTAATGGCCACTCTGTTGGCAGATGGTGCACGGCATGGGGCAATCTTTTCCCCAGTGCCCCTGTCCCCCACACCTGTTTCCACACACCGCCAATGGACAGTTCTTAAACATGTGGTCATTTTTCTGGGGACACTTCCAGCAGTATAGCATGGTTGTTGGAGCAGCATCACACATCTTGCTTGAATCCATGGTAGTAGTAGTAGTGGTAGTTGTAATAGCCGTGGTAGTAGCAGTAGTAGTAGTAGCGGAGAGCTGGTCAGGAGTACGTCTTACTGTATGGCGAGCAGTAGTCAGTATGATTTGACAGTGGTCAAGCGAATGGTCATATACACCCCCCAAAGGGTAATTGAGCGTGTCCGCGTTGTAGACATGATCATACACGTCCGACACGCGCAGCAGGAACACGAAAATCGCCTCTATTATCTTACGCACCATATGTCCACGGTTTATCGTATATTCCTACTCATGGGTCTAACCACTCCTTATTACACAATCGTTTCGACCACCGCGTGTGCCGAAGCCTTCGAAAATAGCCCCTACGTGCATCGTTAATCGGCCTAACTGCTCTAATCGTCCCCCCCTATTACACGCAATCGTGAGTGTCCACCCCGTCGTCTCTACATCCGTTTCCTTCGAAAATAATCCCCTACGTGCGTCGTTAATCGGTCTAGTTGCTCTAATCGACCCCCTATTATACGCAATCGTGAGTGTCCACCCACCCCGTCTCTACATCCGTTTCCTTCGAAAATAATCCCCAACGTGCGCCGTTAATCGGTCTAGTTGCTCTAATCGACCCTATTATACACAGTCGTATAGTGTCCGACCCTTCGTCTCTTCACCCCCCTCCTTCGATAATAATCGTCCCTGTCATACACAACCGCGTGTGCCGAAGCGTTCGAAAAATAGCCCCTACGTGCATCATCGTTAATCGGCCTAACTGCTCTAATCGTCCCCTATTATACGCAATCGTGAGTGTCCATCCCCGTCGTCTCTACAACCTTCTCCTTCGAAAATAATCCCCTACGTGCGTCGTTAATCGGTCTAGTTGCTCTAATCGACCCTATTATACACAGCCGCTAGTGTCCACCCCTTCGTCTCTTCACCCCCACTCCTTCGATAATAATCGTCCCTGTCATACACAGCCGCGAATGACCACCCCGTAAACCAAACAACTTCTCTCTCTCTCTCTCTCGCTTATCACAAAATGGCGCACAACGACAACATTCTCATCATGGTTGACGAGGAAGACCCCGTAAACGAACTAGTAAGAAATACGAACACGTCTCTTATAGAACATTCCGAGGATGACATACTTATATTTTTTTCGTCGGATGATGAGGAATTCCAACGCCTCAGCAGTGACACATGCCGACAGTCCGGGACAGGGCAACCTTTGCGACAACACGACGACGACATCATCGAGGTCGTAGAGGAAGGGTTGCCGTGTCATTCTCCCCCCAACGACGGTCACAACGAGGTTATCGAGGAAGAAAATGGCGAGTATGACTACTCGCCACAACAAGTTTTTTTCCTCAGAGAACTTCGTCGGATGGATAGTCAGAGATATAGGGTGTCTAACATCGTGTACCTCTTCGGGTTTTTACAACAATTTCTGGAGAGAGTACAGAGCAGCGTGGATGTGGAAGACAACCTGTCACGCGGGTTCGACTCCCTCGTGGCTCATTTGGGTAACTCGGAAAGTAAGTGTATAAAAAACAACATAAGCTCTATACATTTACAACGTGGTAACTAATAATTTTTTAACATTGCTTGTCTTTTCAAAGCTGACATAAGCGCATTCTTGATGCCATTATATTTTTCTTTTACTTTTTCCCCTAGATATACGCCCTCAGGATATCGTCACCCTGTATATTCATCATCACGCCCTCAACGCCCCCGTCGCCATACCGTTCGTCAGGTTTGAAGAACTCACGGGTGACATCATATTGCGAGGTATGGAACACGTTGCCCAGTCTAACACATCTTTTACGTTTGACAGTACCATGACCGTAAGGTTACACATAGTGAGGAATCCCGCCGCTGTAGGTAGAGGTAATGGTCGATTGACTAAGAAAGAGCTAATCACGCTGGAGGCTTTTACCAACCGTAAAACCACTAGGGGTGGTTGTCTTACTAAAATAGAGAACAGCGACAATTTATGTCTAGGTCGGGCTATTGCTGTAGCCCTATATTTTCTAAAGCATGCTTCGCAACCACGGGATGTGTCCAAGAAGGAACGCAGACAGCGATATACAGAGCGTGAAGCGTTCCTGAGAGATGCGGGTGTACAAACGATAGCCACGCATGAATTGTACAGGCGAGCGGGTCTCCGCCTGGAGCGTGTATGGAAGGTCGTCCCCTTGGGAGGCCTTCCAAACATGTCTAAGGAATGAGGCGCGCTTAGATGTACACACCATTACACCCGGTAATGGTGCTTCTATCTTGTACGCTCCACACACTCCTCTTGACACGGCCGAACACATCCCCTGTATCGATATTTTCTGGTGGCCTGCTAACACTCCCAGAGGTGGACCGCATGGTCACTATGACTGCATCAATACAGTGGTAGGGCTGTACGGGAATAGTAAATATTGTAGGGTGTGCCATAGAGGGTACAAGGCGGACAATACTCATGCATGCACTAAAGAGTACGCGTGTGGGAAATGCGGGCGTAAGGGTAAAAGCTGTCTGAACGATTTTCGACGACAGAGGCAGCAACAGCGCCATAGCGGTACCCGGTAGTGGCGGTGGTGACGTCGGCGAGCTGTTGCTGTTCGGTCAACCTTGTCGAGAGTGTCGGGTGTGGTTTCCTACGAGGGACTGTCACGCGGCTCATATCGCCAACCGCGTTTGTGGACGAGAGAAATTCTGGTGTCCTAAATGTAAGACCGATAGAAATGCAGACCACGAAGTGTCTCAAAGACAATAAAGATAGGGTGTGTTATCGGTGTAAAAGTTTTTTCCGACCTTCGCACCGCTGCCACATACCCGTCGACATCGTCAAGGATGAGGACCGCGTAGACTATGATTTGACCAAGTACGTTTTTTACGATTTCGAGTCCATGTGCGACGAAAATGGTAAACACATACCTAATCTATGCGTTCTCCAGCTCGGTTGCGGCAAGTGTATGGGATCAGAATCTGAATACCTGTGTCAGACATGCCCTTGGCGTAGTGAGAGTAAAACCGGCTGCGTGCCTACTGATTTTAAACGGGAAATAGTCATAGACGGTCCCCATACCGAGACACTCGTAGGGCTGTTTTTTTCTCGTCTCGTACCACCCGCGCAGAAACCACGAGATACTGCCGAGAACATCGCCACCCCTCCCGAGAGTGAGTCTACCGACACGGTCAATCACAATTCTACCGCAAATGACGTCGATTAGACGCTAGCATAGTGGTCGTGGCACACTATGCTAAAGGTTACGACAATCATTTCATTTTGAAATCGTTGTTAGAACATCTCACTCAGAAACCGCAAGTTATTTTGACAGGGGGTAAAATTTTGAATATGACCATCGGTAGGCTACTTTTCCGTGACTCACACACAACTATATCCCTACAGCTCTGAAAAAGTTCTGCGATACTTTTGCTTTGGAAGACGGTGAAAAGGGATATTTTCCGCACCTTTTTAATAAGACTGGCGCGTACCAGACAGCTATCCAGAGTAAACTACCACCCAAACATTACTACGATCCGATAGCATGTCGCGGGACGATCGCGTGAAATTCTTAACGTGGTATAGGGAAAACCGCAGGACACCTTTCAACATGCAGGTCGAGCTCTTGAAGTATTGTCGGCAAGATGTGTCCATCTTAAGACGGGGTTGTGCTAAATTCATAGATGCCTTCATGTCCCTTAACGACGTTAACCCTTTGTACGAATGCATCACGTTGCCTCATGCCTGCATGTTGACCTTTAGACGCAAGTACCTGAAACCCGACACTATAGCTATAATACCCCCCGGGGGGTACGAGGACAATCAACCGCGACAGTCTAAAATATGTACCGAATGGTTGGCGTCTCTTGAACGAAACCGGGGTTTACAGTTGGACCGTGAAGTATCCTTCACCTGCGGCGTCGTCGACGACCACTGCTCGGTAACGACGACCGAGGGGAGACGCCATACCTTCAAGGTAGACGGATACGATCCGCACAACAAAGTAGTGTACGAATTCCTGGGATGCTTTTGGCATGGTTGCATGTCGTGCTTTCCTCGTAAGCGGAATGTCAAAGTACACTACGGCTCAGGCACTACCCTGGCAGACAGACACGACCGTACCATGTATCGTTTAGGTCTTTTACGAGACCATGCGGAAGTGTCTGCCATACACGTCATATGGGAGTGTCATTACAGAGCCGTTAGGCCCAGGGAAGACGAATTACCTAACGAGGCTGTCGCGCCTCTCCAACCTCGGGACGCGTTTTACGGGGGTCGTACTAATGGGATTCACTTGCACAAAAAGTGTGGCGAGGGAGAAAAAATACGGTATGCCGACGTATGTTCGCTGTACCCATACGTGTAAACGGGTCGCTTTCCCGTATCTCACCCCCGTTTTACACAACCCTCTCCGGACGAACTGTTCGAATTGATGGTCTCGCCAAATGTGACATTCTTTCCCTCGGCGTCTCTATCATCCTCTCCTACCATACCGCGACTAACGGAAGCTTTACTTCCTCTCTGCCGAACGTGTGCCAAACGCATGCCAGCAACGCTGTCGGTCAGCATACCGACGATCAGAGATCGGGTGGGTAACGCACACCACCGTGGAAGTACAGAAAGCGGTTCGAGAACTGGGTTATGTGGTTAGACGATTTTCTCCGCGAGATGGCACTTTTTTCCGGTTCGAGGTTTACGACAGAGCAGCCGACACCTCGGGGTTGTTCGCCGAATACGTCGACAACTTCTACAAACTGAAACAGGAAGCTAGCGGCTATCCTGAGGAGTGTAAGACGGATGATAGTAAGGCACGTTTCGTCGACAGGGTTTTCAATAAGGAAGGTGTTCGTCTGGACCCTGCCAATATTAAAAAAAACAAGGGTATGCGCGCCATAGCCAAGTTTATGATGAACAGTCACTGGGGCAAATTTGGTCAGTCTAATGACAAGACCCAGTGCCAGTACATCACAGACGAGAGAAATTTCTACGACCTCTTTCACGACAAGACCATAGAACTGAAAGACGCCGCTTTGATTAGCCCCGACACTCTACTCGTCACCTACTACTCCCGAGGAAACACACCTAATACCTCATACCGCCAGCAATCCCGCCTTTAGCCGCATGGGTAACGGCACAAGCGCGTTTGAAGCTGTATGAGGCTTTGACGCCCTAGGCGAAAACGTTGTACTTTGACACGGATTCGGTCATTTACGCACAAAACGATGACGCCCCCTCTGTTTGAAGCTCGGTGATTCTTTGGGCGAGTGGACTGACGAAATAGAGGATGGTAATTGATTGACGAATTTGTCACCCGCGGACCGAAAAATTACGCCTACAGGCTACACCATCCTCCGCGTGAAGGTCCTCAGGAAGTTTGCAAAATTCGAGGTTTCACCTTGAACTATCGCGCCTCGCTCGTCTGAATTTCAAGGCCATGGTCAGGACAGCTCTTAAGCCTAGAAAACCGAGGGAAGATAAGCGCCACGTACCTTTATTTTCTCAAGAGGGCTGGGCTTAAGCGTGGGCTGGACGTGCACACCACCGCTCAAACTAAAGAATACGGGTTTTGTTACACAAAACGTCGCATTATTCGCGACCCCGTAACCTCTAGGTTGACCTATACCGTGCCTTACGGTTACGAAACCAATGCCTCGTGATTCGTCGATCCGCGTCCGACCGGTAATAGCTCGCTAGACAGTCGCTCTCTACTATAAAAGCCACGAACAACTCCCTTAGTTCGCCTCCAGCTGTATAATAGCCTTTTCCTCACCTCGCTCCATTCACCATCACCTACGGTCATGTCTCTACAGTCAAACGATCATATGTGTAAGAACGACGACGTGTTCCAAATCAGCTACGCCCTGACGAACGCCCTGTCACACGTCATGGTGGCTCTGCGTCTTAGTATACAATCATCCTCCAGTCTGTCACTTCAGGGGACCAAAAGAGACCACACCACCACCAACAACAACGACGACGCAGACCACCCGAGCACGACCAACAACGGCAGCAGCACCACCGAACACCACCACGAAAAAAACACACTCGCGGCGACGACAACCACGAACCACCCGCCGAAGAAGCCAACCACGCACCAAAAGAGAAAACTCGGCGACGACGCAACGAAGAAGAACAAGAAGAAGAAGAAGAAGAAGAACCCTACAGCATTACCGTCCCCTATGCGCGATAATCGAGGACGGCTTAACAGCACCCGAGGGAGGGAGAAACCAACGAGATAGACATCGAGTTGCAGAAGCTCGCGGGCCGAGCTGATAGGCAGTACAGCAGGCTCCGATACTAGTGCCTGAACAAGCGCACGCCCTCCCTTCTCGGCGTGTCGATTATAACAACGATGATAATAATAATATTTTTAAAAAGAAATAAACGAATGGATCGCGTGTTCCATTGGAAATGTATATTCCGCTATTTCTGTCGTTATTCTCGCACCCCCAAACAGGGTATGTCGAGGTCTGGATTGGAAAAAAGGGGTGCATGGTTGTCACAGGTTTTTTAGAACTATCCCCCGTCATACTTTTAGATCAGTTAGTCGTACATTGCGTGCGACGATGGATACTTTTAGGAATAGCGTGTCATACTTTTGGAACGGTATGTCATACCTTTTGGCGTGATTATTCGTTCTACCCATACTTTTTAGCAGTAAACCTATGGAACGGGTCCACGGCTAATGACACGATTTTGGAAGGGGTCTGTCATACTTTTGGAACAGCGTGTGTGTAATTATTAGAACAACGCGTCATACTTTTGAAACGACGCGTCATACATTTGGAGCAGTAAGTCGTACATTTGGAAGGACGTGTGACACTTTTAGAATAAGCGTGTCGTAATTTTTTGGGGAACGGTGTGTCATGCCTTCGGGTGTGGTTATACATTCTCCCTACATTTATTTCAGTAGTAAAATCTACGGACACTAGAAAACCCGAGACAGTAATACGCGTTTTAACAAAGACGTCACGGTAACGCTTTGATAAGATTATTTATACGCGTAATGTTAGCGGTTAATTTACGCCATTCCTCCGTGGAGATAGAAATACCTAAAATTGTCTCTTTACCAGCTATAAATTGCCTGATATCTACGATGGGTAAATTTTCTTTCAAACAAACGGAAACACGTTTTGTTGTCGAAAGGCGTAGCTGATTGCGCATACACTCGTTATCCGTTAGATTCACACCCGTTCCCGCGACAAATGACCCGGGGTGTTGTTCCAGATGAGT